AGAGCAGCAAATCACTATTATAAACATTATCTTTCAGTAGAAAGACAGCTTGAAGATAGCGTGGATGCATTCTCGATCCAAGCACTGGCATTTCATCGACTATGTTTTAGTGTTCCGAACAGGCGTTCACGATGTTCGTCACATTCATGTGATGCATAGTGCAGATTGTCAAACAGACCACGCCTTGTGCGATGCAAACTTAACCTCCGCTTTAAACCCAAACCTGAGAGAGATGAAATTGAGGGGACTCGAAGTCAACAATCTTCAAATAACTGTAATGAAACACAACTTCCAGGCAAACCTTCAAGCTAAAGTTGAAGACTATTTCACAATTCCAGCTCCTGAAGCGCTTTGGTATCACATTAAAAACGGCATCCTGCAGTCATCCTTGAGGTTCTTCAAGAGAAATAGGTTAGTTTGGTGAAAACAATCAAGAGATCCAAAAATTGTTGACAAAAAAAGAATCTGCTCAGCAAATACACCTCGCTCAGTTGTTTATACGGACAGGTTATTTAAATTTTTGTTAATTTTGGCCAATAGGATTATCGTGGTTATTCTTTTTTAGATATTTGTGCTCCTATTTTAGTGCAGTTATAATTTTTTTTCCTGTTGTTGTTTGTGTGGATTATTGTTTACTAATAGTTGTTATAGTAAGAAATATTTTGCACCTCGTTTTTGTTATGATTCTTTTAGTCTGTTTTTAGTTGTTTTTTTTTTATTTTTTTGATGTGTCTTGACTTTTTGCTGTTGTTAGCGGATGATGTGTTTGTTTCTTGTAAGAGTTTCTGTTTTTGATTATGTTCGGCTTTCTAGTAAATTTTATTCATGTTTTTTGTTAGTTTTCTTTTTATTGTTTTTACTTTTTGGTGATTGGTTAATTTGTTGTCTTTGCTCTTGCCATCTTGCCACGTAAGTAAAGCAGTCTTTCGCCATGCATGCAATAAAGTCCAACAGAAACTTCGAGACATTCAGAACAAGTGATGGGTCAACCAAACAAAAAGGATTCAACTGCGCGCAGATTCGGGTGACCACAGAGAATTCTATGAGGATGCGAAAGCTGTGTACAGACCCACACACCACGCTCAAAATTTCCAACTCAGAGCAGATGGCCAAACGTTTCTAACTGACAAAACGTCCATCCTGAATCAGTGGCCTGAATTTTTTCAAAATCTTTTCAGTGCCAACTCTGCAATTCAGCACATTACGCAACAACCGGTTAAAAAGGAATTGGATGTAGTCTTCACTATGGCAGAGACGCTCATTGCCATACGGCAAGTAAAAATAGGCAAGGCAGCTGGAGTCGATGGTACCCCATCTGAGGTCTGGAAGTGGAGGTCAAACACTCCATGCTAAGTTTCAGGAGCTCGTTGTCCGATGTTAGGAAAAAGGCGAACTACCACCGGATATCCGTGATGCAGTCATTATCACCTGTACAAGAAGAACGGAGAAAAGTCAGACTGTTAAATAACTAAGGAACTAGTTTGCTCTATACTGTTCGTTACATCCTTGCAAGAATACTTCTGAACAGATTATTAGTACCCGCTGTCTCAGAACTATATAAAAATCAATGTAGCTTCAGAGCCAATAGGAATACCCCAAACATGGTATTTGTTCGACAACTGCAAGAGAAATGCAGGAACAAAACAAAGGACACTACATAATCTTTGTGGACCTCACCAAAACTTCTGACACTGTGAGAAGAGAGCCCGGCAGAACATGGAACGGTTAGGTTGTCCTCTCATTTTCCTGGTAATGATGACGTTATCACATGAGAATCAATGCAGTTTACACCAAAACCTTAAATTACTACGTCCAAGAGCTACTTTTTGTCGACGATGCCGTCTTCGTTGCTTGCAGAAAAACAACTTTGCAGCGCTTAAAATCTTGCCTGCAGAGGCTGCAGAGCTTTTTTGACTAGAAGCCAGCTTGAAGAAGATAAAAGTTCTCTACCAGTCCGCACCATGGGAAAGCCCCTTTTATCCTCATATCACCATATACAAACCTGAGTATAAGTCAATTCAGCAGTTCAACCATCTGGGGCAGCATCATTTTCTCGAATGTCAAGATCGACAACAGATTAGCAACGGTACACAGAGCTTTCGGAAAACTCCATGAAAAGTCTGGTGTAATAAACACCAGAAGAGAAGTACAGAAATTCACTGTAATGTGTACTTTGTATGGATCTGAATCATAGGTCATTTACCGTCACTATCTAGCCGAATCACTAAGAACACAATTACGCTGGGCTGGGTACATCTTCAGGATGGAGGATTACTGTTCTCCTAAAATCGTACTCTATGGTGAAGAAGCCATCGGCTTCCGCAAAAGAATCCCAAAGAGGAGATACGAGGACGTCCTGAAACAACACCTCAGCCTTGGCTATGTAAACTGCCATCAATGGTTCACTCTGGCCTCGAATCGGGAGACAGCGGTCACGTTATCCATAATGCTGCGTTATCTTTGAGAGTACACCAGAATCAACCTGGAGGACAAAAGACAACGCAGAAAAAACCATGCCTCGTCAATAAGAAGACTTTTCGCTGCGCCTTTTGCAATGAGACTTGTCTGTCTTGCATTGGCATTTTTAGCCATGACACGTCTGCAACAAGCAAGGGTATAGCCTTTCACATATCTTCGTTCGCGAAAACCTAACGGCGACGATAGTCGTTTACTGCAGTTCTCTGACTCAGGTTGAATGGACAAATTGCTTATCGTTAGAAACTACAGTTAGGTCACATGACCAGAACTGACCGATCTCAGGAGACAATCACATTGAGTAGTTGCTAAGGTGCGATAGAAATTTTCAAGATGATTGTTTATCATATTCCACTTACTCCACTTCATCGCGCTTAATTAAGAGCTCTGGAGTTGGAAACAGAAAATTCTTGTTAGGAGTGATCTGTTCCTCGTTCATCCTTACTTGACCCATATCACGGTTGATTTTAACATTGTCTACAGCGATGACAGCGATGGATCACGTTTTAAGTATATGAGTCTGTGTGTGTAATTGTATATCTTTGATAGCAAAATGATTCATTGCTGTATTACCTATCCATACTATGTGTATATGTTTATTCCAGAATACTGTCAGGTTTATTTATAATACGGCGACAATGCCGTTTTTCTGAGCAAGTCCTCCAGATTGTTTTTATGTTCTATTTGTTTGGGTTGTACTTCTAACTCATTTGTCTTTAACAGGAGAACAGAGATATGTGGCAAAGTTTGTTTGGAAAATGAAGAGTAGTGAAAGTCTGATGGATGAGAGATTTAAGTTTATATCATGTGAACATAGATTTTGGTTGGCAAGGAAATGCAACATAAGCAAAGGACTGAAATTTTTCTGGGATTAAGCTGTAATTTATAGTGTATTAATTATTCTTTACTCTTAAATTTAAGCAAATTCATATTGCTACTACTACTACTACTACAAGTGAAGCGTTCATTTCACATGAACAATAATGGTTCAATGGTTACCTTCGCAATTGTTATTCCCTCAAATGCTTTTAAATTCATTTTTCCCTAAAGGTGATCACCGTTTGTGGATATGTCTGTTTGTTCATGTCTTATCCCTACAATTCTCTTGAATACAGGATTCTTTAGTCGTCCTCTCCCCTCTAACTTCTTTGCTTCATTTTCCGGTTTTTATCTGTACTACTACATTGCAGTATTAAACTCTGCTTCACCATTAATATCAATATTTATACCTGTACGTGGTTGCTTAGTGTTCTACCCATCAAACATTTTCCTGCTTGTTTCACACAGTTTACTTCCGATATATAAACACTGATGCGATTGCTGTCATGGTTACAATTGATTTGCATCGAAAACTGACCAACTGACCATCAAAATAAAGCTTATTAGTTTCCTTTCAGGTGGGCACTACTGCTTTGGAAGGGAGCTGAAAAGAATTTCGTTCATGAAGTGGAGGAAACAATATCTTATCATATTTGCTTGGTTTTTAATAACTTTTGTTCACTTACCCTGATTCCATCTATGCATGTTTAGGAGCTGAAAATGGAAATGTTTTGGTCTGTTCTCCGAAAGTGCTGTTGTCCAGTTCAAGACAAAGTCTCGTTTTTGAATTTAGATCCTCCTTACTATCTACCAGTTTTATGCCGTCGTATAACAAAGTACTCTTTCTTCCCACGACATTATTCTGCAGAAAATTGCGTCCTTTATGATCACTCTCTTAAGTATTGGATGCTTTTCTATTGAATTACCGCCAAGTTACTCGTCATAATGCTTGTTTTATTGTATATGGAGAGTTGATAGGAAGATACGTTCGGTTACAAAATCGCCTTCTGAAGAGTAGTCGTGGGTGTATTTCATTTGTCCCGTTTGGTCTGATGATTTTGATCGATATTAGGTTGTAATATACTATGTTAAGTCTTGAGAATGCTTCTTGCTTTCCATCAACTTTTCCATTCAAGCCAACTTTGCAGTAGTTTATACAAGCCAAGCGCTGAGAATGCTTCATTATGCGCTTTTGGGCGACATTTCATATCGTACGTTTCATTTCTTTCAGTTACGAGATGACGAAATTGACTCGAACAAGTGCGCGTGGTGATGATCGACGGATGGGTGACGTTAACCTGGATGATTTCTGGAATGCAGATGCCGATAAATATAAATGCTGCTGTCGTACATTCCATGTTGTTCGAGCATCGCTTTTCATTGCCTATGCCCAGATGCTGATCACATTCGTCTTTGCGCTTTTCTTCACTTTTTATTATGTACAGGTTGTTGCATTCCGCATAAAAGAAGTTCAATTTATATAAATAAATATCGAAACTTTCACCGATGACCAAATAATCACTGAAAAATAATCGTAAAATGACTTAGTGGTTTAAGATTAGTATTGAAACACTCAAAGGGACTTCAATTTGGAAATTCTTGAAAGTTAATATAAGATATATTACAAATAAATAGCATACATTTATATTCGTAAAGCATCATTTTTTTTTATGTAGGCCATTAACGGACGACTAACGCCAGATCATTGGATCAATCAGTTGGGTGAACGATATATTTGTAAGCACCTTTTTCAACTTAACCATTATTATTTTAAGAATTGTGCACAGAATTTTCCTTTGATTTACACTTTTATCCAGGATTGCTTTTACTTTTGATCTCCGTAACTGAATGTTGAATATCTCCATGCATTCATTATGTCCAGATGTGTTCATTAAAAAAGGATCATGCATCAGCATTAACTTTTACGAGATTTGTTCAATATAGCTGTAGTGTTGGTAGTTTCACTAGGTAGATACGCTGATTGGCCCCACTTTTCTTCAGATTAATTTGCATTTCAGCTTCGCTTCTGTTTGCGGTCACTTTACAGCTCCTTCTCGTTCTTTTATTGGTTCATGGAATTCGGACAGAACGCCGCTCATTTTTGCTCCCCTTTATTATATTCGCACTGATCGCTGTTCTCTTTGGCTTTGCCCAAGTACGTTTTTTTTGTCTGGAATTTTATTCAAGCTGTGTATTTTAACCTTCCATATGAAGTTGTCGTTGACGTTTTCTAGCATTAGCTCTACACAACTCTAAAATTTTTAGATCGGGAGTGATTTATTCGGCTTCATGTATCCTTCATCGCTGACACATCTAATGTACGACAACAGGTTGGTTCCTATTTGATTTCATTTTCTTTTTCTCGTCTCTTTATCTCTTTATATATATATATATATATATATATATATATATATATATATATATATATATATATATATATATATATATATATATAT